AAATTAAAATCTTTTTTTATAACGAAATATATAAAGAAGAACAATGAAGAAACGAAGTATTTATCTCACAGTAAAAAAACGAAAGCGGAAATGTTTTATCTTTCGTTTCTGAAATCCTATTCGAGGAATGTAAATGTTGGCATGTCCGAGTATATCTCAAATTCTCACGCATTCGTCTGTTTTTTCTTTTTTTATTCTTTTTTTTTTTCATTATTATATTTATGCATTCTCTTTACAGCGACGTTTAAACGCGATGATACGAAATACGATTGAGTTTTATAAAGCACTTAAGGGAAAAAATCACGCTCAGCATCGACTGCACATCATAATAATACTCACACTCGCGAGATTCTCGATGCTTTGAATAATTTTTTTATATTTTTTTTTATTCCTTTTTTTTTTTTTTAAATATACGTATATATCATCTTGCTTTCTCCTCATTTTACCGTAATGGCACTTTTTTTCGGCGCTTTATAATGTCACCATGACGTCAATTTTCCAATTCGTCGATATTCGATCGGTATAATCGATCTCTTCTTTCCAATTTTTTTATCGACCAATTTTTATTTTACCGACTTTTGTGAAACTTTTTTATCGACCAATTATTTTACCGCGAAATTGAAATAGAATAGACACCGAAGGAAAGAAAATAAGAAAAATGAGAGGAAAAAAAAAAAGAAAAACTAAAAAAGATGTTCTTCTATTTGAAAGCGAAACTTTAGCTATTCTCGAGAGTATTTTTCAAAAACAAACATTAAGATCAATTTCTTAACCCAATGTTCATTAATGAAAAATATCAGAAGAACGATTCGCTAGAGTTTTAATTACTCTCAAATGGATTAACATCGAAACATTATATATCCAATGGAAAACGAAGATGTTCGATCACCGAGAACCTCGATATCACGAAAAGCATCCGCATATTGTCGACATATGTATCTTTTTTTCCTCTTTCTCTCTCTCTTTCTCTCTCTCTCTCTCTCTTTCTCATCTTTCACTCTCTTTCTCTCGTTCTTCTCGATCGTTAGATACTTACATTTAATTAACGGTAGATAAACTACGGTAGTTACACATGTGTTCAGTCGAAATCCACGCACGCAGATTACGCAAACAAGCGTGAAGTGGTATATTTTGAAAAAATGATCTTTAAATCGTCTTTTTATCTTTATTTCTTCTTCTTTTTTCTAACTCTCTCGAAATTTTCTCTGCACATTCATACTGCTCTCGTTCACAATCACGCGTACACCCTTTCTCTCGTTTCTCTATCTCACCACCTTCGACGTATTTAATTTATTTACATCTATCTACGCATAGATGCTTGTGTATATACGTGCTGCGAAAAAAAGTACGCATGTTATTTTTTTTCTTTTATATATATATATATACATTCATGTATCTCGTGTGTGTTTCCGCTTGATACACTCCGTACGATTGGCAGTATGTTACAGTATGTGTTCTTCTTTTTTCCCTTCTGTTTTCCCTTTTTTTTTTTTTTTTGTGTTTTCTTTTTTCTTAAATATTCTGTTTTTCTATTTAATTTACATAATCCCGATTCGGCTACGCGCGCGCGCTTATTTAGCGATCGTTTTGTGTCTCTTTTATACGTAACATATGCGTATGCGTGTATATGTAATGTATGTATGTATGTTTGTTCCGGTGACTATTTTTTTTCTCTTTTTCTTTTTTTTTTCTTTTTTTTTGCTTCATCTAAGCGCATCATGGGATTTCGAAATGACGTTTTGTTCGTTCGTTCGTTCGTTCGTTCGTTTCTGTTACTCTTTTCTTTTTTTTTTTTTTTTCACCCTTTCTTCTTCTCGATGCATTTGTACGTCGTGTATACGTGCGATTAATAAATCGAATTGAATCAATGGATCCTTTCCATTGTCATGACTCGACGAATGACGAATTACGACGTATAAACATTATATACGTTTTTCTTTTTAATGATAGTAACAACGGTACTAGCAATGTTTTAATTTAATAAAACGTTTCAGTATTCGTAGCGTTAGTAAAAGTAGTAATAATAATAATAATAGCTATCCGTAATAGTAATCG